TTTTTTGAATAAAGTAAATAGTATTGGATGTAGATCTTTAAATGTCTGATAGAATTCTGCTGTAAATCCATCTGGTGCTGGGCTTTTTTTAGTTTGGAGGTTTTGTATTACTGTTTTGTATTACTGATAGGAGCCTCAAGTAGGCATTTTACCTGCCTGGTGATTTCATTTCTTCATAGGAAGAAATTATTGATCTTAGCTGCTTCATGGATGGTGTTTCTAAGGATTAAGATATAGAGACACTTGGTAAAGGAGTAAGGCCCATGAGTGTCAGGGTCTAGATGCCCTAGCATTTTGAAGTCAATAGCATGTCGACATGATCAAACGTAGTTAAGAATATTTTGTTACAGATGTAATTAAAGTGTAAATGGAAATTTTATAATCTCTTAATCTCTTAACTTTCTTAGTGTGTTGTGATGCATATTCAAATGAAAGTATAGTGAATGAGTGATAGAATAGGATAATTTAAGGTAAAATATTAAATGTTAGTTTGGAGGTACTTTTAGGATTATTTATAAATATTGTGGTAATTAATATCTACCTATTTCAGATGAGTTGTGAGAATTCAGATAGTATTTTATATTTTATTCAAATAAGTGGAATTTTGCAGCTTAATTTTTGTTAAGTTTTTCCTCTGCTGAATTTTAAACAGGTATTACAGGAATAACTGAAGCAGTTAAGGAGATTACACTCGAAAGCAAGGTATTGCCTAGTTAATATTTCTTAAACCACTGACCTATTTCTTTGCCTGCATATAAATTTTAAGATGACTCATGTTTTTTTCAAACTAGTTATTATTAAAGTCTTTTAAACTCATATATTTCCCTCTTTTCTACATTGTCATATGAAACATTACTGATCCCTAATATCAGTAAAGAATTTTTTCTGTTTCTCTTAATATTGTAGTATGGTTGAGAAGGTATTCTGGTCTGGGCGTGTCTCTGATTATTAGAGCACTTGCCTAGCATACTCTGTATAATTGATCCCCAGAACTAGAACAGAATTCTTTTGATCTTGCAACTGCTACAAATACAGCATCTAAATAGTTAATAGTAGATGGTTAAATGGAATATTTGTGAAGGGTTACCTACTTTGCTCATCAGAGGTGCTAATGCTATAATAATACTGAATATATTAATAACTGAATTTTGTAGTTCATTCTAAGCAGTTTTATTTATGTTTTTAAAAATTACCGGTAATAACTTTTTAAAATTCTGTTCTTACAAATTTTAATGTGTACTTTAGTATAATCTAAAAATGATGTTGAAACACAATGAAAAATGCAAATGCAAGATACCTTCACACTTTATATATATATTTTTTTTTCTGTATAAATTTTCTTTGTATTGTTCCAGTTTTATTACATGTGCTGTTGAAGCGAGACAGGGTCTCCATGTAGCCCCAGCCCCAGCCAGCCTGGAACTTGCTATGTAGATCAGGCTGGCCTCAAACTCAGAGATCCACTTGCCTCTGCCTCCCAAGTAGTGGAATTAAAGGCCTGAACCACACCACATTTGACTTTTCTTAATTTTTTTTTTTTTTTTTAATTTTTGGTCTTTTTGAGACAGGATCCCTCATCAGCTGGCCTGGAACTCACTATGTAGACCAGGCTGTCCTTGATCTCACAGAGATCCACCTGCCTCTGCCTCCTGAGTGCTGGGATTAAAGGATTGTGCCACCATGCCCAGCAGCCTAAACATTTTTAATAAATACAATGATGGTTATTTTGATGGTAACTTCCTTATGATGTACTGAAGGATGTATACTAATTTATGAATAGGATCTATTGTTTTTATTATTTAATACCACACAGAATTTGTGATTTAGTCCTTAGAATACTTGCCTTCTGGACCCAAGAGTTAATCTTGGTTGTTCATTTCTACTCTGTTGTATCAGTGTCAGACACTGGTTCATTAAATGATTACCTGGGTACTCAGTGACAATCTTTCTTCTTTGATATACATTTTAAATGTAAGTTTGATTTGTTTCTACTGCTAAATGAATTATCACTAAGTAAATTGTACCTCAAATGATACCCAATGTCCATATTATTCACTTACTAAATCAGATTTGTTTTTCAGAATATTTGTGAAAATGATAGCTATTATTAGGCTCTCATTAGTTGCTGTTCTTTCATAGTAGACAATATTAAGAAATTGAATGAAAATTGTACAATTGTAAAATCTGATTAAATTGATTAATTCAACTGGGTTAGTATTCATAAATTACAGTATAGTGTTTTATAATTTTAACTTTTAAATGTATTTCACTTATGAATATATAGTTTTTCTTTAAATTGTAAATATATACGTTAACATAGCTTTGAACTGATTTTATAATACTAATTAACTAAAAAATACTGTTTTGGGTTTGGGACTTGACTCAGCAGATAAAGGTGCTTGCTGCCAGGCCTGATAACCCAAAATTCAATCCCCTATACCAGCATGGTGAAAGGAGAGAACCAACCCCTGCCAAGTTGTTCTCTGACCTACACACACACACACACACACACACACACAGAGAGAGAGAGAGAGAGAGAGAGAGAGGAGGGGAGGGAGGGAGAGAGAGAGAGGAGAGAGAGAGGGAGAGAGAGAGAGGAGAGGAGAGTGTTTTATTGAGAGTTCAATAATTGACGACTACTTTTAAATGGTTATCCAAGGTGACTTTAGTACCTCTGATATCTTTTCAGTCACAGCACTTAACATTTTACTTCTAGTGACGATTTATGTTTGTCATCCCCATGGGTATGTGAATTTTCAGGAGGAATAAACTGCCTTATTGATTTTACAGAGGTTAATTAGCATTGTGCAGATGCTGGTGGTACTGAAGGTGGTATCACTGGCCGCCTTAGTTAATAGACCTACAGTCTTATGATCAGCTATTGGTGAAATCACCTAATAGTGCAGTTCTCAAAATGCATCCTCATTTAGTGATGTACAGTTGTAAAACTGTTCACAAAGCAAGCACAGGTGGACCATTCAAAGGGAGAAAACTGAGAATGTTTTCTTCACTTCTATATCCCATGCCAAGAGCAGAACTGTGCATTTGATAGGCTCTTCCATTAATGTTTGTGAAGTAAATATATAAATATTACATATAATAAGTGTTCGTGGTTAATGTTTTAGCTAATGGACTCAGGTAACTTTACTGTAATTAATTTCAAAGGACAGTATAAAACTCCAAGATTGCTCAGCACTGTGTGAAGAGGAAGAAGAGGAAGATGAAGGGGAAGCTGCAGACATGGAAGGTATTTGTTTTCTAGATGTACTTTAATTCCCCTAGACTTAGAATACTGGTAAATCGTGTGGAATAAGAATTCAATTCCATTGGGTTTAGCATTTAGCAGTCTAGGGAGTATTTTAAATTTTATCATGGTAAAACTTACTTTGATTTTAGCTTATTCTATTTTACTTAGAACATAGTTTTTGCATCATTATTTCTACTGGGACAAATATTAGTCTAAATTTAGTTGTGGGTGGTGCAGCTATAAGATCAATTTGTTTCTGAGCAAAGCAAGGTTTACTTATATGTTTTATATTTTTCTGAGACAGCATCTTGCTCTGTTGTCCTGGCAGGCCTTAAAACACTCTCAAAAAATTCTCTCACTTCAGCCTCCTAAGTGTTGGGACAGTAGACCTGGCAAGAGAGTAGTTTTTTTCATTTGTTTTGTATTTTGTTTTTTTTTTTGTTTTTGTTTTTGTTTTTTTTGGAAACAGGATCTCCTTATGTAGATCAAGCTAATTAGGATTCATGATCCTCTTCCTTGTGAGTGCTGGGATTAACAGGCAGGTATCATGAGCAGCTAAGAGAGTGATTTTTTAAAAAAATACTCTATTTTTTACTTTTATGTGTATGACTATATTGCTTGCACGTATGTAAGTGTACCAATGTCATGCAGTGCCTGTGGAGGTCAGAAGAGGGCATCAGAGCCCCTGAAACAGGATTTATGTAGAGTTGTTATCTGCTGTGTGGGTGCTGGGCATCAAACTTGGGTCCTCTGCAAGAACTACCTCCCGTAACTGCTGAGCCATCTCTCCAGCCCCAAAAGAGTAATTCTTAATGGGGTTTGAGAACTGTAGAATTCCCTCTTTCTTGTTTCTTAGGATTCTGAAATAACCTCGAAGGGTTACCAGTTAAGAATCATCAGTTCAAGATGATTCACTATTCTAACAGAACGGAGTATGTTAGTTACTTTCAAATCACTGTGACCATGATGCCTGACAGCAACAATGGAAGAAAGCTTTATTTTGGTTCATCTTTTAGAGATTTCAGTTTATCTTAGTGGGAAAGTTGTAGTGGAGTGACCCTGTTCACGATGATGGAAGCATGTGGCAAATGGCTGTTGACATGGTAGCAGATCAGGAAGCATAGATCAGCTAGAACAGCCTATAACCTTCAAAATCCCACCCGTACTGACCTCCTTCCAGAAGCCACGCCTATCTCCTTGTGGTTTCTCAGCCCCCTAAAACTAACGTTAGGGACACAAAACACTGCAGACATGAGCCTGTAGTGAGGGATATTTCAAATTCAAATCATAACACAGAATAATAAAAGTCAGTAAGTACATGATGATTCAAAGTCTTGTATTTCATTATTATGATAATCTTTAATACAGATTAAACCTCAGATATTTCAAAATAGATGAAGAAATTGCTATCCATGATGACCTCTTTATTAAACCCAATGTATTGTACTTAGCTTCTCAATATTTTTTGATTCTGTTAAACATGTCCTCTTTTATTTTTTTCTCCCTTAGTTTCTGTGAAACTGATTTTTCTTTTCCCTTGACTTTGTAAGTCTTTAGACAGTTTTATTTATTTATTTATTTTTGCATAGCCCTCTATAACCCCCCTTCTAGATTTTCTGTTAGGGTATGCAGTTGAGAGACAGTAAATAAATTCTGTGAGACTTTAAATATGAGTATATGTTTGTTCACACACAGAAATAGTGTGTAATAGAAGTTGGAAGAGGGAAAAGAAGGCAGGCATAGTTTGCTGTAAAGCAGTTAAATCTCTAAAATACCTAGCACTTCTGTTAAGACAGTTATGTTTTGCAGCGTGGAAAAGTAGTAGATGGTGCCAAGTAGATTTGAGGCAGTATAAGGGCAGGTGATGTTTGCTAGACTGCAAGTCTCTTTCCTTCTTCCCAAATTATTTTCAGGGCTTCATGAACTACTTCTTTGTATTTGTGTTCATGACCATGATCTTATTTCCCTGGTAAACTGCTACCTTTGAGGAAATATTAATGAGTTCTTGTAACCAGAACTGCTCAGTTACCTCATATGACATTTTTCTATGTTGACGACTTTCATATCTAACTCTCCAGTCCAGATCTGAACTTCAAATTTTCTTAGTTTTATTTTCATCTGAATATGTCACAGCTGATAGAAGCCGAACTTACCTTTTCTTGAGTATTTTTTCTGCATAGTCTATTTCTCCGTGGGATATAGTTGGCCCCTCTGAGATGGTGTGAGAGTTCAGGAGTACCCAATGACTAAATCACTGTTTGAGAATAAGCTGTGGGAGTACCTTAAACGTGTGGTAGCCTGTTAGTATGTTTGTATATTTCCTTTTCATAATTAAAGGTTTTCTGTCTGTAAAATTTTGCTTCTAAACAGTATTGGTGATATTTAATATAAGAAGTCATTTTCATGCATTTTTTTCAGTAAGTACTTGTTGAGTAATACAGTATCTATTTAGCAGCACTGTTCTTAGTGCTGGAGATAAAGCAGCAGGCACAATTTCTTGGAATTTATGTTCAACTAGGTTAGAACACAGAAAAATAGATAAAACATGTATTGTTTGAGATGTTGGTCAGTGTTAGAGAAAGATAAAGGAGAAAAGATGAGGATATCTTGGGGTGTAGTGTTCTAATTTTTTGTTTTAAGTTGGCCAAGAAAAACACATTGAGAATGTGCCTAAAAGGAAGAGAATGAAGAAGCTATTTGTCTTGGACAAGAATGCCTAGGTCCTGGGGTGGGACCTTGTATACAGCACACCACTGAAGCTTCTTTGTCCGTATAGGAGTAAGATGGTAATACAGGCAGTCAGAGTGCTGGGATTAAAGGTGTGGGCCACCTTGCCTGGCCCATGACTTAACATTTTAACAGAATAGCTGTGACTGTAATGTTGGGAGTATATTGAAAGTAAAAAGAAATAGTTTGGAAGCTCCTTTTAACCTAGACGAGGTGGTTGTGGCTTGGTCTAGAATCATGGCATTGTTGGTACTGAGAAACAGAATTTGGGGCATATTTTAAGGGTAGGACCAAAGGGATTAGATGCTGGATTAGATGTGAAATATGAGAGGCAGCGTGGTAAAATGTGACTAAACACTTTTGACCGATCTCTAGAGAGATGTCATTGACCGAGATGTAGAAAATGGACAGTGATCGGCTTTACAGAAGGATCAGGTCAGTTTTAGTTGTGTGATACTTTCAGTGCCCATTTGTCATCCAGTGGAGCTGCAGAATAAAGTTAGATACCCATGTCTGCACTCAGGGAATACATTTTTGATTCATCAGTATTTAAAGTCATTGAGACTGTTGAGTTTACCCTTGAGGAAGTCTGGTAGAGAAAAGACAAGGCCCAATGATTGAGCTGGTTTCTACTGTTACTAAATGTTACGGTGCTTTTTAAAGTAGAGGTGAAAGTGAACCAGCGTAGGAAGTACTGAAGAAACAGCTAGCAAAGTGAGAAGAAAGGCAGAAAAACAGAATGCCATAAAAGTCAAGGGAAGATGTTGTTGCAAGGATACAGGATAAATCATGCTGGATAGAGGTTGACTGAGATTGGAAACTGGGAACTTAACCACTGGCTGTAGCAATCCGATGCTCACACATAACTTTAATGAACATGTAGGCAGCTACAGCTGTCCTCCTGTACTTTGAGTTCAGTGTTTTCAATTATCCATCATCACCTGTGCCTTGAAAATAGTAAATGGAAAATTCCAGAAATACAAAAAATTTAAATTTTAGATTGCATGCTCTCTGAGTGAAATGGTGAACTCGTACTGTTCACTGTGTTTTCACCCATGGTACAAATCATGCCTTGTCCGGCCACCCAAGCTGTGTATGCTTTGTGAATGTGAGTCACTTAGTAACTATTTCAGTTATCAGACCCATTGTCATATGACAGTGGTTGTGTTCAAGTAAGGCTTATTTTATTTAATAATGGCCCCAGAGCACAGCTGGCAATTTGAATATGACTAAGACAATATATAAACTACTGCCTTTAAGTGAGAAAGTGAAAGCCCTTGATTTGATAAGGGAAGAAGAAAATTTAAGATTGTAAATTCTTTTTATTTTTTTTAATTTTTATTATTTTTATTTTATGTGTATGAGTGTATCACCTGCACGTATGTGAGTGCACCTGTGCTGTGCAGTGCTGAGGAGGTCAGAAGAGGGCTTCAGATTCCCCTGGAACTGGAATAAGGACAGTTCGTAGCTGCCATGTGGGTGCTGGGAATCGAACCCAGGCCCTCTGTAAGAGCAGTCAGTGTTCTTAACTGCTGAGCCATCTCTCTAGCCCCTGTAAATTCTTTAGTAAGAAAAAGTCTGTCAAATTTCAAGATGAAAAAAGTTCATGCTAGTTTTATTGATATATATCAAGTTGCAAACATTAAAGTTTTAAACAATTAAGGTTAATGCGTTAAAATATTTTTTCTTTTATAACAGAATATGAAGAAAGTGGATTGTTGGAAACAGATGAGGTATATAAATTTTTTTATGATAATTTGAATGAGTGAACTTTGTAATTATTAGCATTTTTACTAGTAACATTGGTCTTTCAAAGTAATTTTTTTAATGGCTGTAATTTTTCTCCATTATGATGTAACAGGCTACCTTAGACACAAGGAAAATAGTGGAAGCTTGTAAAGGTAAAACTGATGCTGGGAGTGAAGATGCCATTTTGCAAACCAGAACTTATGACCTGTACATCACTTACGATAAATACTACCAGACACCACGGCTGTGGTTGTTCGGCTATGATGAGGTAAAAATGGGAAGAAATATATTTTAATGTAAATATTTAAATTGTTGGATTTAATTTCTTTATTAGGTCCATGGGTATAATGTGTATGTGTACATACACATGCACATATTTTGTATATTACGACATTGAATTTGATTCTTCCTCATTTAGTGTGACAATACTAAAACAAAACCTGTTGCATGCAAATTCTTTTCCCTCCAAACTTATCCTTTCAAAATGTAGATGATGAACTCTGTATTTTTTTACATTTTTTTAGGATTACATCTGTTACATACATAAACATTTACTAAATGATCATGTCATATATTTTTTTCCCATACCACTTTTTAATCTGCTAAAATTGAATCAAAGGATAACTGAAATGAGATCAACTTGCGTGGGTCTCTCCCTTCCCTCATGGGTCATTGGCCACCTATCTGTGAGAACAAAGGGAGCAGAGGCGATGAAAGAACTTCCGGGAGTCAGCTTCAGTGAGACAGCTCTTTTATTCAGGGGGGTTACAGAAAGATACAGGGTGAGGATGGCAGCCAAAACTTTACCTGATAGGTGTTCATAGTACACTTTATTTGCATGTGGCAGGAGGACCCTATCATGTAGAAAGGGGAGGTGGAATTGAGTGGCTGCAGTGCAATGCCTAATTATCATACAGGAAAAACCTAGGGGCAGCTTTCGCAGGGAACTATGTCAAAGGTCATGTTCCAAATAAGGTCAGGCATCTGTGCTTGGAGACACATTCCAAATAAGGTCAGGCAGAGAGTAGGAAGCCCCTGCTGAGAAAGGGAGTCCTCCATTTTAAGCCAAGCTTGGAGAGCTGTCTGGATGTGGTGGACTGCGACCTTCATGGCAGGGTCCCCCAACATCTCCATCGATTTTGTTTTATAATGGAAGAGGTGTCATCACAAGCTTTAAGAGCCAGTTCATCTATATTGGGAGAATCCAAGGTCTCATAATGGACTATGACCTGATTGGTAGGAATTTAACAATGGTGGTAATTTGTCATTGAAGAAATTGAATTAGACAGGGTGCCACGAGAAGCAAGGTACATAAAGCTAGCAGGGGACCCAACAAGGGTAGAAATCAAGCAAGGAGGGGGTTGGAAAACCATGGGAAGAAAAATCCTCAGGGTAGATGAGCTGGTAATCTTGACAGCTGCCTTGAGGAGATGAATAGTGGGAAGAAGGAAAGAAAATTATGGAAGCATGCACATTTAGAGCCTGCATGGAGGTCAGACACATGGCTGACTGGCAGCCACATGGCTGGGAGAAGGAAGCTTTAGAGAAAAAGTGAAGAACTACAAGATGCTAGGGGCATCCCAAAGCCTTAAAGAAAGCATTTTTAGTAAGAAAGGCATGAAGAAGAGAAGGAGAAATTATACTTTCCTGAAGAGTTCAGGAAAGCAGACAGACTTACAGAGACCTACATGGCTGTGGCTGGTCTGGAAGTTCTACAGGGGTGTGAGCTAGTTGCAGGCAGAAACGTTCGTTACCTTATTAACACAGTAGGTATTCTGCCCATCTATTTAGCATACCTTAAGGTGACCCTGCTTTCCTGGGAGTGGTTCTATCACCAGATAATGGACCAGTGAGACTGGAAAAGTAGGTTCTCCAAGAGATAGACTAGACAATTTTATAGTCTGGACCAGTTCAATTTATGGGGCTTATTGGTACTCTAACATTCCCCCCTCTGAAGACATAACCCTAAAATCTTTCAGGGATAAGAACTCCCAAATACTTTTAACATTTTTGGCCTTTGGGACAGAGTACGTTGCTAAAAGCCCCACAGACTTTTAGAAACTGGATACTAAGAAACTGGATACTTTTCTTTGGGGTCTTTTTACCCTAACTGCCTAGCCAATTTCTGCCTCCTGTTCTTATCACACAACCCTCTGAAGAGGTTTACCCAAATTGCCGATAGAGAATCGGGACACAGACCACTCTGGCTTCTTCCATGCTGAACAGGAAGGCAGGGTGAGGCAATTGGGTTACCTCCTTCAGTGGGTTGATCTAAAGACTCCCAAATTGCATAACTCTTAACTATAGGGAGAAAAGAAGGTCCTTGACTTGTGTCTAGGAGATGTGAAGGAAAAGTAAAGGCAAGAGTCATTTGTATTACAGTTTTGGGGCAGAGAACCAGAAAAAGTCAGAACGGGAAATTTCAAATGTCAAATCCAAATTAAAGTCCATTGGAATTTCTTGATGAGGGTTTCCAAAAGCACCCATCTATTGGGTTCCTCCTCATTTTTCTTTTGCCTGCCAAGGCTGGACTGATGATTGATGAACTCAGGATTAGTTGTCAGGCACTTTGATAACTGTTGGAATGGCTAGAATCAATTCCCTCTTATATGGCCTCTAGATAGGGAGAGAAAACAAATTTAGCCATCATTTTGGAACAGTAGTGGGTTGTATCCCTCAGCTGCAATATTGCAGACCAAGAATTGAAGTCTTACAGCTGAGTAGCATTGTCTTACTAGGAACAAACCCATCAATAAGACCTAATTGTCTAAGTAACATCTTATAAGAACTTAAGTCTAATGTCGGGATGTGTAATCCCTTGAACTCTTAAAGAAATATACTGATGACTTTAATCTTTGGTTATACTTTCCTTTTGGGTGTTTAAGACCATACAATTAGCCCAGATAAACCAATTTATTTTTAGGTAGTATGAGGATTTTGTCCTCAGGGGTCACATGGACTTGAGGGGAGCCCCTGGCTTCTCAGGTTTTTCTTTTACCAGTTCCATCTATGTGAAGATAAGAGGTTCTGCTTGACCTGGACTTCACTTGGAAGTATGGAGGAAATGTTTCCTCTGTGTTGACTCTCCTCTTTGTAGACTGGACACTGGTTTAAGTCCACCTTGTGGTGTCTCCATGGCCTCCCTGAACAAGAGGACAGGTGACTCACCACAATTACAGGACATTTTGAGAGATGCTCCATAGTCCCCTGGAACTTAGTTGACTGTGGAGGCCAAGGAACAAAAAATTGTCCCTTTAAGTCCCTTTGACCAGATTAGGCCTCAAAGTCTGGCTATTAAATACCCAAGAAGGTTACTTAGACCAATCTGGTACTTTTAATTACCATGTGCCATGTAGAAAAAGCTTGGGCAAAAACCAAACATTCTTAAATAAACCTGGATGAGACATCCCTAAACTAGTTGACTGAACTATATGTCCTTAGAAAATTTAAGATTATTTATGTTATTTTTGTCTCATCCTTGATAGATCATTAATAAACCTATGTAGACCTCCATCATTTGCTTAGCCTTTTTTATTTTTATTTTTTACATATAAAAATCTTTTTAATATCTTTATTTTTATGTCTTTATAATATATTTACTTTTTTTTTACAGCCATGAGACATAATAACAACAAATTTTTTATCTGTTGTGAGAATATTTTTCCTGGGGATATTAAGCAATGTTTATCCCCTTTTTAAGTTTTAGTGTCAAAGCAATGTTTGATTACATTAAAGTTTTTCTGGGGAACCAATAAATTTATTGAGCTTAGTTATAGAGATGACTGAGGGGTTGCTGAGGTGTATGAGTGACCTGAGCGTATGTACACTGGAAAGCCTTAACCCAGCATGGATCAAGCCTTTTCTTCCTATCCTTTACCAGATATACTTTAGTCCTCCCTAAAACCAGGAGACCATATGTGATTAGGGCCAAATTACATACAGTTGGCTGGGAAGAGCAGTTGGATACTCAGGTGAGGGTCCAATGACCCTGTTTACCCCTCCTCCTTTAATTAAAGAATACAGTACTCAAGTCAGCAAATCCAATTGTGATGATCTTTTGTTAGTGGACACCACTGAAGTCATGAATATGGTGGTAGTTTGACTCAGAAGAAAGTAGTATGTGGCATCATCTTATTAAAAGAACATGGAATCTTACGTAGTTTAGAGAGTGGTCTACCAAAACCTTGCTTTAGGTAGAAAGAAGCAACTGGTACATAGTTAAACATTATCAAATTGATGTTCACAATCTCCAGCATAATCCGTTTAAGAAAATTGCCATGCTTTAGTTACTGACTGAGAAATTCTAGGCAGATCTTCTCTGTCCTCTCCATCAACTGTGAATTGTCCTCTTTTTAGAAAAAATCTACCCTGTTGTTTTTTCATTAAGTAGTTAAATTTATCTTTGTATTTACTATACATTTTACATTAGTCTGTGTTAGTGACTGTACTCAGTATTGTGACCAAATAGAGAATCCCATTAGCTACTTTTACTATAGACAGTAATACCCTCTGTTGAAATTATTTTACACCTTAGCTGTTCTCAACTGCACAGTGCGTTTACTCTTAGGCTGTTTTGTTGTTCTCCTTTTTCTTGTTACAGGGTCAAGGGGCAAGGTGAACCTGGAAGATAGTCTTAGAGAACATATCTTGAGATAATAGGCTTGAGTCTGAAGTGGGAGGGCCAATCCTATCTCCAGATTCAGCTTCTCAGTGCGCTCAAACTGCATGTGACAATTTACCAATATAGTTAATACAAAAAGGGCATTTATTTCTCTTTAGCCTAAAAGTTTTAAATTGTTTATCTATATTTTACTTTTAAACTAAGGTAAGACTTAACACACTGGTGAATTTCTTCGATGAGGGCTGTCAGTCTGGATTGGAAAAAAACATTTTATAATTTATTATACATAATCTTGGATTAAGTACCCATAACTTGGGGAATAAGAAACACAGAAAGCAATAGTACCTAAGAGAACTTGTAAAGAGACAATATCATAATACTTTTTCCTTTAGTCTGTCCCTGACATTGTAACTAGAAAGTACCCACAGAATGATGTGGCAGGGACAAAAGCAAGCATAGAGCAACTGAGCAGAGAGGGAAATAACTCTGTTCCAGAGAAAAACAGGCTTATAATCACAACGCAGAAAAGGGAAGTGATTAAGACCAGTGGAGTCCGCATCTTAAGTCTCCCACTCAAGTAGGCTATCCCTTTTAACCTCTCGTTGTAACTATGTGTTGGTAGGAGCTTGTCTCTTGTAAGGTTTGGCCATGGAATACAGCAAATTCCCATGAGCTTTCTAGGTCTAGCCATCACAAAATGTCAGCTCCCTTTGTACCTGGATAGTCTTGAAGGCATATGGCTAGAAAAACTTTAAGGTCTCTTTAGAAACTGACAAATATTTTATGCAAAACAGTAAGAATTTAAGTCATTTTTAGAAATTAGCAAATATGCCATAAAGAAGATGTTAAAATCCAAATAATTCCTTTAAAACTCTTAGGTAGGGCTGGTCATGTTGGCGCATGCCTTTAATCCCAGCACTCGGGAGGCAGAGGCAGGTGGATCCCTGTGAGTTCAAGGCTAGCCTGGTCTACATAGTTCCAGGACAGCTGGGGCTACAGGGAGACCCTGTCTCAAAAAGACCCCCCCTTCCAAAAAAAAAACAACTATTAGGTAAAGATGTCTTATAAACAATCTCAAAACCTAAAAATAATTTCTTTGAAAAATCTGTAAATATTTTAAACAATGTAAAAACTTAAAAGTCATCTTTAAAAACCAGTAAATATACCGTACAATAAGTATTTAAAAAACAGTAAATGTACCATACAAAAAGTTAAAACTCAAAGTAATTCCCTTTAGAAACAGGTCCAAATGATGTTAGAATTTAAACTCCCATTATGCAGATTTGGCATTATTTCCTTAGTCTGAAAAATCCCATCCCCTGCCAGGATACAAGCCCTGTGGGATTCACGTCTCACAGATTAAATGTAGACAGCAACCATTCTTACTTTTACAAAGCACCCCAGTTGAGTTAGACTTGATATAGGAGAAAAGTACCTTTAAATATCTATCTATCTATATATAGATAGATATATAGATATAGATATCTATGCCCCAAATAGAAAGGCAAAGTAAAGAAATTTGTCTCTCACCAACCATAGTAGCTGTAATGCCAAGCAAAGTTCTCCAGATCTCTTCATTCCTAGATACAAGCTATGCTGTAAAAGAAACTTGGGAAGGCAGCAGAAGGAACAGGGCATATATATATCTAGCACATAAATCACTGGGTTGTTGTTTTGAAAGCATATGTCTAGAGCATGGCCCCTGACTTTCCATATACACTGAAATTTAAAATGGTTAGATCTACTTAGAAAAGCAGCTGCCTCAGGACCACATGGTCTCAGTGCAGTTTGTTTGGTGTTCAGTAGGGCCTAAGATCCAAATTTTGAGCCACTCTGCCTGAGAAAAAGTTTAGGGGAAAAAAATGGCTTTTAAAATCTTTTTTCTGTTTGTCCATGGGGCAAGCTGCCTTAAATTCTTTAACTGTTCCACCAAAGCCACCCAGCCTAAGCCCGAATGCCCTGAGGCAAGATAGCAAAACAGATAAGGAAGTTTATCTGCTCTCTTAAGAGCTGAATTCAGTGTGTGTGAAAAATTCCTGCATGATCATCGAATAAAGAAGTTATTAGAACTTTGGGGATCCCTTGTTTCTAGGAGTGTCGTCCAAGATAGAAAAGGAAAGGGGGCTGAAACGCTGAGTCCTAGTGGAACGTTCCCCAGACCTGGAGATCATGGGGCATTCCTAACTAGTCCAATGTGCAAGCCTGACCACAAATTTCAGAGAACTGGTGACCGCTCTAGGAGCTTTTAACTTTTAATTGGGTTTTGTAGTAGAGAGACATAGATAGGAGGGCTTTGCCAACACTCGGGCGGGCAGTCTGGGTCCATTCAGAGGACTAGGAGCCTTCGACTGACATCAAGAAATGGCCCTGATCAGAAAGCTTCAGAACGGTCCCTCTTGAAGGTGCAAACCGAAAGTGAAAGGGGAAAGGAGAGACTGCCACTCCTTAGGGTGGGATGGCCAAGGGAAAAATGCCGCTACCCTTGCAAACACGGTGTGTTCCAGGAGCCCCATGTTCGGGCGCCAGCCGTGGGTCTCTCCTTGTGGGTTGTTGGCCCACCGATCCAGGAGAACAAAGGGAGCAGCAGAGGCAACAAACAGGGTTAGGACGGCCGTGGGTACAATGGAAAGAACTTCCGGGAGTCAGCTTCAGTGAGACACCTCTTTTATTCAGGGGGCTTACAGGAAGATATAGGGTGAGGATGGCAGCCAAAGCTTTCACCTGATAGGTTTTCATAGTATGCTTTATTTGCATGTGGCAGGAGGACCCTATCATGTAGAAAGGGGAGGTGGGATTGAGTGGCTGCAGTGCAATGCCTAATTATCATACAGGAAAAACCTAGGTGCAGCTTTTGCAGGGAACTATGTCAAAGGTTATGTTCCAAATAAGGTCAGGCATCTGTGCTTGGAGACACTTTCTAAATAAGGTCAGGCAGAGAGTAGGAAGCCCCTGCTGAGAAAGGGAATCCTCCATTTTAAGCCGAACTTGGAGAGCTGTCCGGACATGGTGGACTGTGACCTTCACGGCAGGGTCCCCCAACAAACTTGCTTAACTTGTTCTTATGACTCAGTGGGAAGCAAGAAAATTAAATGGGCCTAAGGGATGAATTCTTCAATTTTAGAATGTTTTGATATCTATAAACTTGCTTCTTGTAGAATCATTTCTACATTTCATGGTGGCTAATGTTTAAGAGCCTGAATGTTCAGACTTCTTCCTCAGATGATCTGGTCATTTTAAGTAATTTGGCATTCTAAGTGAGGCATAGGCTAAAAATGTGAAAATAGTGATTTCAAAGAATTTTTTTGATTTCAGCAACGGCAGCCTTTAACCGTTGAACACATGTATGAAGACATCAGTCAAGATCATGTGAAGAAAACAGTGACCATTGAAAATCACCCTCATCTCCCACCACCCCCTATGTGTTCAGTTCACCCATGCAGGTGTGTGTGTGTGTTTGTGTCTGTGTCTGTGTCTTTATGTTTGTATATCTGTGTGTCTCTGTGTTGGGGCAGGGAATGCTTGTGTGTGTAAACTTGGTGAGTTTGCGAATCTGTAAACATGGTACAATAACAAAAAATTCTACCTTATAAGCAAATAAAATTGTCTTCAGAAATATTTATTTTTAAATGTAATTTCAGTTATAAAGTCTTTTTTTTCTTTTTTCTTTTTTTTTTTCCAATGTGTATTTCCTGCATGTGGGTAAGTGCACCCATGTCATGCAATGCCCGCAGAGGACGGAAGAGGCCATGGGAGGCCATCGGATCCCCTGGAACTGGAGTTATGGACAGTTGTTAGCTGCCATGTGGGTGCTGGGATTCAAACCTGGGTCTTCTGCAAGAACAACCAGTGTTCTTAATTGCTGGGCCATCTCTCCATCCCAGTTATGAAATCCTTATCCTTACAAAGTCAAGTGCATTTTATGCTTTGGAGTTTTCTTTGTGTGTGTTTTCACAAGGCCATGTAAAGTGAAACTGAAGCTATACTCAAAAAGTGACATCCTTATTTCTCTGGATTAGTTATTTCAAATAAGTGATGTCCACAGATGACTGAAAAATATTGATGAAAATGCTGATATTCCATTGAACAAGTAGATGAAAATTTTTAAAGAAAAAGGTTTTTAGGTGACCATGGTGATATATACCTGTAGTCCAGTGCTCTTAGATGGGAAGCTGAAGCAGGAGAATCAGAAGTTCAGTCCCATTCGAGGCTATACAGTGTTACCAGGTTCCAGGAAACTACCTGAATCAAAAACCTTAAACACTGTCTTCTCATTTTCCTTGGCCTTTTTATTTGTTAAACTTTTTACCCCAGGGAAAGCCTGCTTTACTTTTCTAATTGAAGTCAAGAGCCTTAAGATTTCTGTGAGAAGTAATTTATAGGATTTGTTGGTTTATGAGATTTTTGTTGTTGGTGTTTTGCCTTTGATTTTTCTTCTCCCAAGTCTCCTCATTTATATACTGACTGCACAGGACCTTAGCTAAAGGGTATACGGATAGATTTACCCTGCCTCCTCTTCCTGTGTAGTCAGAACACAGCCTATAAAGTACCAGACGGCCTACTTTTAATTTTGAATTATCCAAAAGATTTTCAAGTCAGTCTGTTTGTTCCTCTTACAGTTTGATGTTTTAATAGGTGCTAATCAAATGATATGTCACTTTCTGTGATGTAGGTTTTACTCTGTTGAGAATAGATGAGTAAACTATAATTATGTTAGCCACTTTAATAAATGATTATATTATGAAATAGAATGAAATATAACAAAAAGGCTGAGTGGTCCCATGTAAGAAATAGAACATTTTTAGGCTTTTCCGTGGGCATCTATGCTAATACATGACTAGTCTCCAATACGTTGTTTTTTCTTAGTTTATATACCCAATTACTTTTTGTCTATATTTAATTGAATTTTTGTGATACAATATAGTTTGATGGTATTTAGATCCTACCTTCTCCCATTACCCCCCACCCAATTTAATGTGCAGTCTATAGCGTCTGATTTGTGTCCTCAAATGTCCTTCAGAGTGGGTTTATCCACTGGGCCCATCAAGAGTCCCATCCCTGTAAAACACTGCCTTTCTACTTCCCAGCAGCTATTGATTGTCAGAAGTTCCTTAGATTGAGTTGGGATTTTTTACCTACTTCTTGTTTGTGTTATCATTTTGTCTAGTTTGTGCTTGCATAGGACTGTGTGTGCTGTCACCATTGCTGTGAGTTCAGATGAGTAAATGACCAGCTGTCTGAAAGACTCTTGTTTGCTTTTGGTCATCTACTCCCTCTGACTCTTACAGTATTTCTACCTCTTCTTCTGAAATGATCCCCAAGCCTTAGGAGGCAGAGGTTTGAAATAGATGTCCTATTCAGGGATAAACACTCTGTGGCTTCTTGATACCCAGTTACTTTAATGTTGCTCAATTTGTAGCATAGGAGAGACATGTATTGTTTATGGATTTATGTATTGGACAGGAACTTCAGATAGTACCATTTTGAAGTAAATCCAAAGATTTTTCTTTGAATAAAATCAGATAAATAAATGGTACACTTTAACACAAAGGAAAAATACAGAAAAATAACACAAAAGGCTTTGATTGTTAGCTTTTATTGACCCCTTTAAGTTACAGTTTAATTCTAAGATAAATATATAAACATTTAAGGGGCTGGAGAAATGACTTAAGTGAGTTAAAGCTCTTGTTGCACAAGCCTGATGACCCGAGTTTAATCCCTGGAACCCATTCAGGAAGGACACAACCAACTCTCCTATGACCTCTACACACACACACACACACACACACACACACACACACACACACATGTTCACACGTTCTTAAATTATAATGACAAAAATGTTAATTAATGGTAAGTAAAACAGCACGATGTAAAAGGATAAATATCAAATCACAAGATTGTGGATATCTCTTAGCTTTTTTAGGTTTACATAGCTTGTTTCCCAGAGCAAGTAACCATTGCTTCGCATTTATCCTGTGATAGGATTTTCCCCTCTTGAGTTTCTGCCTTCATTACCAGAAATGCCATTGTGTTTATTGGATGAGTATAACTTTAAAATTCCTCCTGACGCCAATAAAACTATCTTCATGGCTCAGCAGTCTGACCTGCAAAGCTGAGGGGAAAAATATTTTATAGTACAACTATTATATTCTAAAAATTAATTCACAAACAATTAAGATATTTCATTTTTATTTCTTAAAAAATAGCTTTATCATTTTAATTTTATGTGTATGAGTGTATTGCTTGCATGTATATAAGTGCACCTGTGTCCTGCAATGCCCAGAGAGATCAGATGAGGATGTTGGATCTCCTGTAACTGGAATTACGGATGCTGGGAACCAAGTCCCGGTCCTCTACAAGATGACTGCTAAGAACAGCCAGTGCTCTTAACCACTGAGCCATCCCTCCAGCCCTAAGATAAATTCCTTTAATAAATCAGATCTATTTTGATCTAACTGACCTGTGCTAATAAGATTTGTTCTTTACTTTCAGGCATGCAGAAGTGATGAAGAAAATCATTGAGACTGTTGCAGAAGGTGGGGGAGAACTTGGTGTTCATATGTATCCTTCACCCGTGTTTGTGATTGGTGGAAAAATGGATCCTGTGGAGTTTTGTTTATTTTGGAAACTTAGTGTAACCTTCATGACATAGTACTTGTAAGTTGTTTTAGCTCTCATATCTTGCAGTCCTAGTGGGAATGTATTTTATTACAAAAAGTAGGCCACATTTATTGGTTAGAACTTGTTTCCGTATGCCAGCTCTACCTATTATAGAGGTAGCCTATTAATTTAGAATAACATGAATATCTTAAAGTATATTTCCATTTTAATGTATTACCACAAGTATGTGTTCCTGACAGATGTAGGTAATGGTAAGTTGTGTTAATCTGTGAGATCCAGGCCAGCCTGGCCTACATACTGAGTTCCAGGCCACAGGGTGACTGTCTTTAAAAAATAAAAACATAGGGCTGGAGAGATGGCTCAGCAGTTAAGAACACTGACTGTTCTTGCAGAAGACCCAGATTCAAATTCCAGCACCCACATGGCAGCTAACAACTCTCTGTAACTCCAGTTCCAGGGGCTCCAACAGCTCCTTCTATCTTCCGCGGCCGTCGCACTCACCTACGTGCTGGCAATACATGCATACACATAAAATAAAAATAATAAAAGATAAAAAAATACACGGAGTACTTTAGATATTTTACAAATATTACATTTTAAATTTTCTTCACTTCTCTGGTTTTCAGGGGTTGACAGGAGGAGTAAATTAGCATTAATTTTCAGCAGTTTGTCATATGCATGGATTTACCAGAAGCATTACTAGTCAATAATTGAGATGCCAAGTGGCTTGAACTAATGTGGGCTTAGGTTGGCATTGAAGTTTGTGCTTTATACCACTCAGACAGGCTAAGAAGGTTACTTACGTCTTACAAGTATGGTGACCTATGAATAAAACATGTTCCTCAGTGGAGCTTTGGGTTGATACTGAAAGTGGCACCAACTCTTTTTAGTCCAAACCAGACTCAATTCTGGAATCTTGCTACTTTTTCACATTCATCTGTATGTTGAAGGCTAAGTAGCAGCTTACAATATTTTAGGTGATTTGTACTGGGTGTGGTCACACACGCCTTTAATCCCTGTACTTGGAAGTCAGAGGCAGGTGGATCTCTCTGAGTTTGAGGCCAGCCTGGTCTACATAGTGAGTTCCAGATCAGCTGGTGCTACAGGGAGACCCTGTCTCAAAAAGACCAAAAAAAAGTTGATACCCAAGAGAGTTGGTTGCTTGTTCTGCGGTGAAAATTAAGATTGTAATGCTTCTAAGTAAAAAAAAAAATTCAAGATTTTATTGAATGAAAACAGTGAAATTATAGCTTATTCTGTGCTAATTAAATATGAAACATGAAACCTAGATTCAGTCCCTTATCAAATGTTTTCATCCACTTGTTTTCATTTACAATGAAATTTCTGCTTCATTTTAAGTTCATACAAATTCTAGAAAATTTATTAGCAGTAAAGAAGCAAAGTGAATACATTTTATACTCATTTAAATATAGAGAACATTGTCCTTATAAATATCAAAGGATTTGGATCTGTGTGAACTCATTAGGAAATTTTAAATACAAATATTGGAATCAATAGTGAGATGGTTTTAAAGTTATAGAGAGCCAGTGTTAATAAATACCGATTTGCATGATTGGTTTCTTAATAGACTTGATACAAGATTTTACCATATTTTTTTGTAATAAATTATTGGTTAATAAAATAATTACTGTTGATTTGAATCAAAACTGTTTACAGATCTTTTCCTTAGCTAAAGACCTTCAGGTATCTTCTAATTTTTTTGAAGTTTGTCCAAGCTGTCATTCCAACAATAGAATATGACTACACAAGACACTTCACAATGTAATGAAGGGGGCATAGAATCCTAATTTTCTGATTTTTAAAGAATTAACACATAGATGTGATCATTGACCATAGTCATCAATAAGTATAATTTCTCTAATAAAGGGACTTGATATGTTTATGCATTAAATAAAAACTGTTCCGCTACCAGCCTTATTTGTTTAATAAAAACAGTGTGAAGAAACAGTTTTTCTCATTTTGTATCTAAAGGTTATGATCGGATTTCCCCTAAATCACCTCTTCAAGTGAAGATGCATGCACTAGTATGATTGCCACATATTCTGAGTTCATGTTTGTGGAGAGAGCATTAAATATGCAGTGGTGTCAGAACTAGTTCTAGACCAGTAAACACTTAAAAAATGTTCACCATCCTTTACTGTCGGGGAAATGCAGATTAAAACCATCCCTGTCAAAATGACCAAGATCAGGAATACAAATGAGAGCAAATGCTGGCATGGATGCGGGGCAGGGGTGCCTTTATACCCTGTTGGTGGGAGTGTAACTAGTAGAGCCACTTTGGAAATCAGTCTGGAGGTGTCAGAAACCTGGAAATAGAACTACCATGGCATAGCCATACCATGCCTGGGGATATACCCAAGGAACTTTAATCCTGTTACAGAGATACTTAAACATGCATGTTTATTGCTATGCTATTTGTAATAAATAGGAAATGGAATCAGCCTAGATGTCCATCAACTGATGAACAGATAAGGAAAAGGTACATATGCGAAATAGAATATTACTCAGGAAGAAAAAATGAAATCTTACCTTTAGTGCCTTTTGTTTTTCTCTCAAAATTGTCATCCAAATCTTAAAAGAAAACTTCATTATGAGGATAATGATTTAGTGGATGTAATACGGTGTTTATTGTGGTACAATATGAAGATTTAAAGGTAGATATCTAATACAGCTGGGAAGACAGTCTTTTTTCTTTTATTAACTTGTTTTTAATTAACGTTTTAAAGTTAGCATACTGTAGTGACTTGAATAAGAAGCCTACACAGGGTCATGTATTTGAACATCCCAGTTGGTTGCCCTGTTTGGAGAAGTTATAGAACCTGTGGGAAGTGTTGCCTTGCTGGAGGAAGTAAGTCACTTGGAGTGGGCCCTGAGGGTTCATAGCTGGGCCCTGTTCCAGTTGCTCTCTCTTCTTAGTGCTGCTGAAGATGTGAGCTCCCTGTTCCTTTCATTGTGTCTGCTGCTTGCTGCCATCCTGTTCCCACCATGATGAACTAGCCCTCCTGGAACCATAAGCCAAAATAAACTTTCTTTCTTAAATTGCTTCTGGTCATGATATTTCATCACAAGAGTGGAAAAGTAATACACGTACAGAATCAGGGGTTTTAATTTTTATGTTATGTGTATGAGAGTATTGTGTATTGCTTGCATGTATGTAAGTACACCCATGTCATGCAGTGCCTGTGGAGGTCAGAAGAGGGCATTGGATCCCCTGGAACTGGAGCTATGGACAGTTGTTAGCTGTCATGTGGATGCTGGGAACCAAACCCAGGGCCTCTGCAAACAGAGCAGTCAGTGCTCCACTGAGCCATCTCTCCCACCCAATAAACTATTCTAATATTAAATGTTATTGCACTATCAGGTTTTCTCCTAGTTAAGTCTTATTTCTCAAGAGCAAGTACATGCCATAAGTTTGTGGGGTTTTTGTTTGTTTGTTTGGTCTTTTTTCCCAGGCTGGCCTTGAACTCATGGAGCATCCGCCTGCCTCTGCCCCCAGAGTGCTGGGATTAAAAGCTTGCACCACCATGCCTGGTACCATAATTTTTTTTCCCCCCTGTGTTTTGGTTAAGTAACTAGTCATGTTTATCTCAGAAACCACTAGGTGGCATAGTGTTTGGGGGGCAGTTTAAACCTTTTTAGTTTCAGATCTTTTATAGTTTCTCATGGTCTTGATACTTTTAAAACATAATGATAGAAATCTTGTTCAGTTTTTGTCAATTTGAGTTTGCCCGATGTTTTCTCATGCCTGAAGTTAGGGATTTTGGAGAATGCCACAGTAGTCAGCAGTGGTGTCTGCCCTTCTCTGCATTTGGCAGGTGGTCCTTGGTGTCTGCTCAGTTTTTGCTTATTTTACTGTACTGTTAGTACTTGCTCTGCACTGTCTGAATGAGCCTAAGTTCATGGAAGTTTGTCGCCTCATTGGGGAGAGGCATTAATCTTAAAGCTGAGTCGTCACATCTCTGAGTGTAGCATAACTCACTGTTTTTATTTCTTTTATCCTGCATGTGTTTTGTTAGATTTATAGTTACTTTGGAGGGGGGTAATGATTTGTTTTTGTAATTTCAAATTCCACTGGTTTATTCCTTATAATGGAAATATAACTTTTTCTGATGCACTACAGAGCATGTGTCTTGCAACCTTTGCTAGTCATTTAAATTCCAGTATTTTTAGGAGGCTGGAGAGAGGGCTGTGGTTAAGAGTACATGCTCTATTCTTGCAGAGTGCCCATATTTGCTTCCCAGCACCCATGTTGGACGCCCACAACTGCCTGTAACTCCAGCTCCAGGGGATCCAACTCCTCTTCTGCAGATACTCATGTACATATCCCCCATTCCCACATACACACATACCCATAAGATAAATCTTTTAAACATTCCAGTGGCTTGTTTATCTTTACGTTTTTCTTCATAGACAATTGCCACATGCAGATATATAGTTTTACCTTTTTTTTTTTCTAATCTGTGTACTTTTTCTCCCATCTTTTGAACTGTCTAGGAGCTGTCAAGTAGAAGTGCCTTCTTTCTGGTCTTTGAGAGGCTTCTCAATTTATAGAATCAGTTCTAGCTCCTTACAGATGCCCTTGGACTGAGTGTTATGAATATCAAGTTTTTTCCCTACATTTTTAAAACGACCATTCAGATTTTTAATTTGCTCTTAATATGGTGACTTACATTGATTATTGAAGCAGCCTCACATTCTTTGGAAGAACCCCATATTTTTAAGCATGAGATCCTCTTCCTATTGATTTTTGCATCACTAGGGGATATTGGCTTGTGTTTTTCTAAGTCACTGTTGATTTGGGTTTGGGGGAGATGCAAATCTGATAGTGTGAGTTGAAAAGCTTTACATTTTCTGAGAAGGTTGTATAAAATTAGAATTGTCAGTTAAAGTACCAGAGCTTGGTTAATTTTTTTTTTTTTTTTGAGATAGGAGCTCATGTAGCCCAGGCTATCCTCAAACTCACTATGTAACTGAAGATGACCTTAAACTTCCAATTCTCTTGCCTCCAACACCACAGACCTGAGATTGCAAGTGTGTACCACCATGCCAGGTTTATGCAGTGCTAAGAATTTAATCCAGGGCTTTGTGCATTCTAGGCAAGCACTCTACTATGTTCTGCACTCTACTACTGAGCTACATCTCCCCTTTTTGAAAGTTTTAAAATACATTTATTATATATAGGACATTTTCTTAGGTAAATATGTTTTTGTTTTTTTAAAGATAGGGCAGTTCCCCCCACATACTACTGAGCACATCTCCAGGCTAGAGGGTGGCTATTTTAAATAGAATTGTCAGGGAAGACCTCAACAAAGGGCTGCTTCTTAGAGATCAGAATGGAGCAAGGCGGAGAACCCTGCAAAGATGCAAGAAACTTTGGTCTGGGTAGAAAATTCAAGCCATGTTGAGTCACTGGCAATAACCAGTTGGCCAATTGTCAGAATGTCTCAGAAGTCAGAAATTGGTTTTCCTACCTCCTGTGTGACGTATTCATGTCACAGTCTTCTTTGTAGATGCCTGTTCAACCACAGAGAGCCAAATCTGACAACTGAGCTGAGTGGTTGGGAGCTGTGAGCCAGCAGCTCCAACTAGCTTTGCATCCAACTAAACCTTTGCCCTTGCTGTATCTTTTACCTGGATACTGTTAGGGTCCGTGACTCAGTGGGTCTCTTCAGGAGAACAAATGCACGAGTATGGAGATGCAAAAATCAAGCAGAGTTTTATTAAACCAGCTAGCTGGGGTCGACCGTCCTTCCAAGACACACAGGCCTGGTTGGAGCAACCGACACCGAGGCAACTTCAGGTAAAGATTATATAGGCTCCCACAACCATTACACAAAAGCCCGCGTTTATACAACCAATAGTTTCAAAGCAAGCATTTCACAAACCAATAACTTCAAAACAAGAAAAAATGTTATGACTCCCTTCAGGTGTCTAAATCGGGGAGGGATGGGTGGTATGTGCCTGGCGTGACCCTTCCCTGTTGTGTAAGCAGACATGCCTACGTGACACGACACAGATCAGACAGGTCAGGCTCCGGGGGCTACAGCACTTGCCCCTATCTCTGGATGCCTGTGTCTCCAGTTGAGTTAATTAGTTACAAGCAGTAAATTCAACCAAGCAGTAAATTCCTCTTTCCCTAACAGATACATTTGCTTTTTAAATGAATTTCCTATAGTAGAGGTAGAAGGAAGAGAATATTTCCTTTTAGCTCTCTTTCAGAGGATTCAGTCCATGGTTGCTTAGCTCACTGCTCTGGGGCCAAAAACATCATGGTAGAGGGAACACATGGTTATAGGAGAGCTGTTTACTTCATGGCTGACCAGGAAGCAGAGAGGTAATGTCATTGCTTGGCTGTCTCTCCTTGTCCTCCTTTCATCTAGGCTTTCAGGGGCCCAGGGCATGACACCAACCACATTCAGGGTGTCTTCCTGTCAGTTATTAGTCTCTGGAATGCCATCACAGACAAACCTAGAGCTGTGCCTCAGTGTTACTAGATCCACTCAGGTTGCCAAGATTAACCATTACAGCTGGCAATTTGGTGCTGATTGTGGGTTGTTATTACTTTGGGGTCCTCTCTAGATAGCTGCTTATTTAGTGTTTTGGGACATACTCTGTTCATCCCAGATTAAGTTGTCTACAAGAGTAGGACAGAAGCCACAATCTGTTATGACCTCTCAGTATTCACACTGTGTGTTGCTCATATTCTACTGGTTATACAATCACCCTATAGTGTCGGAGGGAAATACACATGCATGTGAATGTGCAGCAAGGCTCATTATGGGCCATCTTGACAGCCTCCTACTATGGTCAGATTCAAAGAAAGGTGAAATGTGAGTAGTCAAACTCAAAGGCCAAGTGTGTCAAGATACTCAAACTTTAGTTGAGAAATACGAATCAAAACAAGATTACAATACCTACCCAGTTGGCAAAAATGAAATTGTATAATG